TATCCTCCCGTCATAATAGGCATGGACCCAGCGGCTTCCAACGAGGCCTTATGCGACATACACATAGGAAGCCTGCACATGTATATATATATATACATATCAATATCAGCTTGGCAGATAGATGCCCTTGCAGGCTCCATTGCCTGTATCTCTAACTCTTCTCCTGATCTTCTGTAATCCTCAAGAACCGTCAAAACACCCTAATATGCTGAACCCAAGTGCCCTCCACAGAAAGTCTGACTCAGAAACGGCAAGCAGCCCTAATATGCTGAACCCAAGTGCCCTCCACAGAAAGTCTGACTCAGAAACAACAAGTTGTACCTTGCTGAACGTCTCGAAGACGTCAGCGGCAAGAACCTGCCATCTGTTAGCACGCTGCCCGTGGCAACTGAACAGGCCAACCTTCAAGCACAACTTGCAGAACTTGAGAGTTGGTCTCAAGCCCTGCCGAGTTTACGGTTTACGCATCTTCTTTGGGCTTTGAAAGTCTTGTACCTCGGGTAGCCTCTGGGTAGCCTATAATTCTTGCTGACGGGTCGGCAACAATGGACTGCTGCGTTTTTGTGCTGGCTCTGAGGCGATGCCTTTGGTCTTTGCGCTAGCTCCAAGATGTTGCGGTATCAAAGTCCAATTTCGCCATTGGTGGCCAGGCTGTTGCTGGAACGATTGGCCAAGCACCCTCACGAAATTCTGCACATGGTCCTGGGGCGGCCCCACCTCTGACCAGATGGCAGCATACTCACCTCTCAGAGAAAAATCTAACCCTGACGCCTACATTGGGCCTACATGAGGTCATCAGGGGTCGGAGCCAAAAAGTTTAACGTTGGTGGGGCTCCCACTTCCAAGACTTAATTTGCCTCTATTCTTGAGCTCTGACGGATCGCTTTTCAACGCCAAGCAGCATTTGGTTGTGAGAGCCTGTTCACTGAGCCCCATACCCTCATTCGAGGGCTGCTTCAAAACCTGGGTCAATCTTACGGAACTTCAAGACTTTTCTATCAACACCACTGTAGGCTCAGGCGCGGAGGACCATATGTGCACATGGGGTGACGGTTGTAACAGGAACCAACCAGGGAACGGGAACCACTTCTCAGGAACCGACTCAAACGCAACAAGAACGAGGGGGACTTGAAGACTACAGGCCTCCCCACAGTTCCTGGCACAGCTTTGCACCCTGTTCCTAAGTTCCTAAAACAGGTTCCTGAAACAGAGTTGCTGTAGCAACCCACTGGTTCCGGTTGCAAGCGTTTGCTCGTGCACGTGGTTGGCGGGCCGTATCTGCACGTAGCCTCAAGCCGGCTTTGAGGGTTTAGGGTTTAGGGCTCAGTTGGAAGGATCGCAGGCCGTGTGCGTGTGTGTGTGTGTGCACATATGAGGTCCCGCCCCTGAAGGCGGTCCCCTGTATGAGACAAATCCCCACCTTTGAACAAAAACCCGCCTTAAAGCCCTCTGAGCATCCCTGGCAGAGCGAACAAAAGACAATGCTGTGAGTTGGACCTGAAAGGGTAGCTCAGGGGACCTGACACCCTAGACCCCAAACCCTAAACCCCAAACCCTAAGTAACCCCCAAGCCCTAATCCCCCAAACCCTAAACTCGGGCTTGGGTCTTGAAGCCGGCCTGCCGCGAAGCCGCTGCTGAAAGGGCCCGAGAAGGAGGCAAGGCCTTGCATCACCCAGACTACCCCGAAACCCTAAAAAAACCCTAAGCCCTAAACCCGAAACCCTGATCCCTCGACCCTAAACCCGAAACCCTAAACCCTAACCCGAGACATGGCTGTGCGCGGCAGGCCTTTTGCGACGACCTCCGAGCTGAGCTCCTTTGGGAAAGGGGTTTAGGGTTTAGGGTTTAGGATGTAGGGTGCTCGCACGCATTCAGGGCGCTGTTTGGCTTCCTTGGGCATCTGGCAGGATTGCCTTCAGGTGTAGCTTTCCTTCGCTTCAGGCCCAAAAATCAACCTGAAGGCCCCTTGCGTTTTGTTTTCCTGTTAAGTCTTTTTTTTGGAGGGGGGAGGGGGAACCCTAAACCCCAAAAACCCCTAATTTCACAAGGTAGCAACCCAGGGATCGTCAGGGGGGGCTCCAAGCCCTATACAAGTACATCCTCCCGCTACCCGACCCTTTGAAGAAGCGGAGTTGCTCTAGAATTGTTGGGGCTTATCTTGTTGAGATACAGGGTCATCCTTGACTCCTAAGATCTACCACAAAGCACAGGAGCCCTCGTCCTCAAGCCTGTCAGGGACTGCACTTAGTCCGAAGAGAAAGGCTCAGCAACAAAATGCAAAGCAATGCAATACCCACCTCCGCACAGGTATACGAGTTTGAAATCACAGCGTCGGTACTTGTGTGAAATGCTGGGGAAGCAAAAGAGCAAAAACACAAGAAGCACACCATGCCACTGCTCCAAGGGGACATTGCCTGGAAACGATGTGCTTGCCATCTTGCCTATGGTGCACGATTCTAAGCCGCATGGCTTTGGGACTGGAGAGGGGATGTTGTCTTTATGTTACCAGTCTATGTACCGGTGGAATGGACAAGCGGACAAGCGGACGAGCACCCAACGAAAGCCGAAAACTCGCTCGAACTCAAAAATGCCGGCTTCCTGATTTGGTAGACGCCGACGCGCCAGGTCGAGCAGTGCTTCCTCAGAGAGCTCCTGCCGCCGGGTGGCACATCTTAAGTCAGTAAGCCGGGGCAGCTATTCCAGGTCCAAAGAAAGCCAGGAGGGTGTCGCTTTGCAGTGAGTAAATCCATGTCGCGGTCTGGAAAGCCTTTCTTCATCTGGAAGCAGCACATCAACATCGCGGTGCATCAAGCAGAAACACAGAAATCCCAGGTCGGCAAGGGACGAGAACTCCTGAACTTCGGGCCCTGACGCAGAATAGGCGGTAGCCGTGAGTTCTCATGCGCCTCCATACATCTCAGGTCCGACATCCAAAAACCACGAACCCCCGATACCCAACCCTGCAAGTGGATGCAGAGCTCCTCCTGGGAAGTGTGGAGATCCAAGTCCAGCTGCGCCTTCAAAAAGGAAAGAAGGCGCCTTCTCTGCTTCTTCCTCATATAGACAAAAAGATATACATACTATACACCGAATTTTATACACATATATATATATATATACACATATACATATATATATATATATACATGTATACATATTATGGAGTATATATATATACACACACATAGCGTTTGGGTCTTTGAGGGAGTTCGGCCGGAGTTTGGGGTTGAAAAGGCACGGGGGTAGAGATGGGATGGACCCGAATGGACCCTGGACGCCAGGCCCCTGACCCAGGCGACGCGGTCCAACAGCTCTGCCCCACGATGAAGGCCCTGGACGGAGCATACTTTCGGAGGTGAATAATTATACAATCTAATAAAACCCAATAGAATATAATATAATGCAATACACCATTATGTTATAGACTCTTGCACTGAACAATTGCGAGAAAACTGCTCTCCTGTTCTGAGGTATTCTTTCCTTCGAGTTTTCATGTCGCCAGATGCCCGGGCAGTCGTCGTCCTGTCTCGCATGCTAGGTGCTTCTGCACACCAGGCAGCTGGTGCGAGAGTCCCGGGACAACTGCGACCATGGCTCCCGCGTGGAAGGTCTGCACCACTCACCAACAAGCCTTTTCCCAGACCCCAAAAACCCACTGCTCAGACATGCTGGCGCCCGAGATGCGACCGTTCAAATGGCAAGCCTTGAACCCCCCCCCCCCCCGCCCCCCCCCCCCCCCCCCCTCCCAAAAAAAAATAAAAATAAATTGTGCCCCTTCCCGTCCATGGCCAGCTTAGTCACGAAATCCTCAAAACACCCCCCGTAAACCCTAAATCAAACACCCCCCGTAAACCCTAATCCTAAAGCAGAACCCCCCCCCCCCCCCCCCCAAAAAAAAAAAAAAAAACAAACCTAAACCCAACCTGCCTCGGCCTTCGCAAGCCCTTCAAGGAGCGATTCGGGGATCGGCTCGTCCGTCCTGACGGCCGGGGAGCATGGATGTCCGAACATGAACTTCAAAAGCGAGGGCTGCCTCATGAAGAAGTTCAGGGTGCCGACTTAGACATCCTTGACATCCTTCCGAGACCAGGAACCCCAAACCCTGACCGGACACCAGAGAGCATGAAACCTACACCCCACGCCGACCCAAGAGCTCTAACACTCACCTGGAAGAACCCTTTCCCCCAAACTTGCACTCGTTCTTGATTTATGCTTACTCGTTCTTGGTTCATAATTGAGGGAATTGGGACCTTGGGTTCCGCTTTTTTTAAAGGAACTAGATTTATCGAAAACCACCAAGGCCCTCTTGAGCCCAGAAAGCCCTCAACACCCCTAAGCCATTTTCAGCCCCTCAATTTAACCCACTAAACCCTTTACAGCCTTTTTGAACCCCTAAACCCCTAAACTGCCCTAAACCCTTGGATCCCCCCCAAACTCTGGGCCCTCGGGCTCCCAGTGCTTTCCGATGAGCCGGAGAGTCTCGGGGTCTGAAGCCCAGAGCCTCAACGCACCCGACTTCAAAAAAAACCCATGATGTGTAGGCTGTATAGGGTTTGAAGGGATACCTTCGGCACGGAACCTGAACTAGGGAAGATTTACGCGCTCTCAGCTTACAACCCCAAAAGCCCTGCAGAAGCCCCCCCCCCCTCTCATCGCTGTGCGTCGGGCTCCAAGAACTTGGGGACGAAGTCCTTGAAAGGCCAGGATGGGGTCGCCGATGCGTCTTTTGCGTGCTTGGGGGTGCAACCCCTCCCCAGTTTGATGGGTTTCCGCTGGGCCCTGAAAGTGCGCACAAGTACCAAAGAGACCCAAACGCACGGAAGCTGAAAGCACCTGCCACACCCCCTTCCCCGGTGCGCAGGTCCACGAAATCCAGCTCCATTCCCTGGGTGCCGGCTGCAAGGCCCACGTCCTGGTTCGAGCCCAGAGGTTCCGGATTTTGAGTTCGACTCCGAACTACTGAACTACATGCCTGGTGCACGGTGGAGAGTTGCAACTGAGGAGCTCCGTTTTCCTCTTGCAAGGATTTGTTGGGTACTCCGCTCCTGGATGGTCAGGAGATGCTGAAGGGCCCTGCCCGTGGCATGGAACAGCGAGCACACCTGGCCGGATGCTGCCAACCCACCTCCATTTGACCCCAAACACCCCCAAAAACATCTCTAAACATCCCTAATTAAGCCCTTTAGACCCCAGCAAAGACAAGAAGCGTACGGACAACCAAGCATTCCCCCAAGCCGAGTTCTTCTCCCCCGCATTCGCATTCGGGGGGTGTTCGGATTATACAGGCTTGTGGGGAGCCGAGTGCCCCCAATTTGTTTCGCCAAAATCCTCTGTTCAAGAGAACTCTTCGAGCTCTCCCAAAGAAAGCAGGGCAAAAACAACATCAGCGTACCTGCGTCAGCGTGAGCAGGGTCGGCGCCCCTTTTTGCGGGGCCTGGAGCTCCCCGACCTCTTCACATTCGGGGGGCTTTTATGAGGGTTCTTCGGGTTTTAGGGACCGCGAATGGCTTTCAAAAGCAGCTGTGTAAGGGCCCATGCTATGCTCATTCATGCTCATTCCATGGGGGCAGGTTCTGGCATCTGAAAGCATCTTCGCATGACAGAAAGAACAGGGCTCCGGCGATGCAGGCGATTGGCCGGCGGGGGACATTGTCCTTTCCCAGCAAAGGCGAGTAGCTCACGAAAGAGTCCTTAGAGCCGAGCCATTCAAAGCATCCACTTTGGGGGTCAGGGGGGAGAGGGGGGGGGGAAGTGGCAGGGGGCAAGGGGGCGATTGTATGTAGAGCTTGTGTCCTACATGCCGTAATGGTGGTCGTCGTGATTCATCACCAGACCAATCATACCAGAAAGCATCACATTTTTTGATGAACGCAATCAACCAAGACCCGGACTCAGAGGCCTTGCCTGAATGCGAATGCCTTTTCCTGCCCAGCTGGAGACCGTGCCCGCGCTGTCAGCTTGCGAAGGGCCCGTTGTAGGCAGTGCAGGCGGCATGTTCACTTGCCGCTTTGTAATCATGCCCGGCCGCGCCGAGAACCTCATCCGGAAGCAAACTCGTAAGCAGCTGTTTGCTGCAGCGAGCTTGCAAGAGTGGTGAGAAGTGGACGTTTCTCTGCCCTGTGATGAACAGAATCCCTACCTTATTTTCTGCAGCAGAGTTGCTGCCCCTGCCTTCAGACTTAGTGTAACCCATGATGCTGCTCGCGTTCTTGCGCCAAAGTAAGTAAGCACTGAGCACGGCACAGAACAAACGCCACTGTGGCAGCTCCCTCCTTCTAAAAGCCGACCGCCTGTGCGGCCCCAAAGGCAACGCTGAAGTGCACGAGGCTGCAACCTCCAACAGGGACCCGCATCCTGAAGCAATCCCTGAGCCATCTAAAGCCTATAGTTCCTATCATGTCTATAAAGCATACATCAAAACCCTCTCCCCGCCGAACGCAGGGTATGACGGCTCAAGCAGTGACAAGATCTTCACCGAAAGGGACGTGCAACCATGATCACGAACCGAAGCAGTAGGACAATAAGCCACCACTCAGAACATGTGAAGACTCTAAGATTCAACGAACTACGACACACCCAGAGCCGCCAAACTGGACCCCCCCGCCTTGAGCAGCTCCTCATCGCAGCCAGTCTAAAGGGTTCGGCACCTCGGATGCTGGTTCAGGGAACGTTTGGGAAGATGAATGGCATTTCTCTCAGCTATGAGCCCGATCGAGCCGGTTAAACCATATGGAGCTGGGACGGAGTTTGGGGGTCTTGCGTGCTGGCTTGCGCTACGAATGGCCCACGGCTTCTTACTCCGGAGAGCTGTCTTTCTGGCCTTTGTATCGCATCGCTGTCAGGCCTCCTCTCAAGTGTACCGTGGGCCATGCTTGCGATGCCCACACGTGATTGGTGCTACTCGCTTTAAGACCGACCTCCCCGCTTTTTGAAAATCTTCGTATGGTGCGAATCAAGACTGACGCTTGACGGGGCAGGCGGCTAGCCACCCAAACTTAACCAACAAAGAATCCTTCTGCTAGGGGCCATGTTGTTCGGGAGGTTGCAGGCTTGCCACAAAGCCACAAAGCATGCTGCGCCGCGCCTTTTTTCTTAAGACTCGATCTGGCAACTGTTGAAAACCGTCGCGGCAGCTTCAGTTGAGAATGCAGAGGTGAGCATCCGTCTCCTCTGCCAGGAGCTCCGCGATCTTTCTGTAACCTTTCTCACGTGCCAATGCGAGGGGCGTGAGGCCTCCGGGTGAGGTTCCGGTCTTCCGAGCACCAGCTTGCAGCAGTCGGTGGACAATCTCCAAGTGCGCCGCGTGGACTCCGGCTACAAGTGGCACCAGCCCATCAGAATTTGGGAGGTTCGCATCTGCGCCAGCCTCCAGGAGAAGGCGCACGACGTTGACGCGCCTCCCGCAAACTGCAGCCACAAGAAGCGCCGGGGAAAGTTGTCGGCTGTCTACTGTTGTGCCGGCCTCTAACACAAAGTGCACCATCTCTGGATCGCGCACCCTCCCTGTTTGCTGGCTTACTTCAGACGCCCTGCAAAGTGCCTTCAGGAGCCAAGAAGAAGTGGACTTCTCATCGGCTTTCAGAAGAAGGCGCACTGTCTCCAGACCTGCCCAGCGAGGGCCCTGAAGAAGGCAGCCCACGCCAGAATTATAAATCTTGGAATGAACCTGCCTGTTGCCAAGATGTTCCTGTAGCAGCAGGAGTAACATTTCGGGCTGTCCTCTGTGAAGAGCGGCAGCTAGAAAGAAGGGGACGTTCTTCATCTTGGCACCCGCCATGAACAACAAGCGGACAACTTCGACGTGTCCTCCCGCCGACGCGCACTGAATTGGTGACCACACCCGGCCATCGCGGAGGATCTCGCAATTCGGATCACTGGGTCGTCGCAGAAGCTCCTCGACCTCCGCCAGGAGGCCAGCTGCTGCAGCGTCCACGAGCTCCGTCTGCTGCTCTAGCGAAGCGCTGACGAAGGGCAGCAAGACCAGCTCAACGTCCGTCGCAGCCAGTTTTGCACTATCCATCAAGCTGGCACCTTGGAGGATGAGGCGCTGCCTGAATCGAGGCATCCCGCACAGGTGTTGCAGGTGATCCTTCAGGTTTCGCACATCGCTGAACTCTTCCACAGGCACAGCCGTCACCTCTTCACCGGATGTCCACCAAACATGAAGCATTGATCGGTTCAGAGCGCAGCTCGCATCATTTCTGCTTGTCACTGTATCAAGGAATTCCTGTGTGCAGGCGCCATACTAGTACCAAGCCAAAATGACACAGGGAGCCGTGGTTCCAGAGACTCAAATTCTGGAGATTAGAACTCCCTCAATGAATTCAAACTCTTGTGGGCAAGAGTAGCAACCAAAGCTTGCAGTCTCTGCTTGTGCTGAATCAGTCGGGCATACAGGCGTACTTGATTCAGGGCTTGTGATCGTTTCACACGCTCATGGAGAAAAAGTGCTGGGGTCGCGTATTGAAAAGCCCACAAGCCAGATTCGATTAAGAAAGCCTTCAAAGCCGGCTCAACCCGAGCCTGCCCTCAACAAAGCCAGCCCCTCGACCCTCAACCGAGTTGTGCTCAGGCGCATGAGGCAGTTGCAAAGGCAGCTCCGGCATGTCCGGAAGATTCACAGGGAGTCCAGGGAGGCTGGGGAGGCCCGGCATCTCCACGCCGAGCATCTGCGGCTTCAAGGGAGCTTCAGGGTTTGCCGGTATCACATGGCATCACCAAAAACATCCAGGTTTGGGGATTTGGGCTTCCCATCGGAAGAAGTCGCAAGCCGAGGCCAGTTCTGAAGTTCTCTGCTTTCGGGGAAGCTGGCAAAGAAACCAATCATTCAGCTTACTCCTTGAAATCTATTTCCAAGCCACCGGAGCTTAAAAAATCTCCCAAGATCCGCAAAGAAGACCCCTACGGTAAAATCCTTCATGCCCCCCTCAAAAGGACTGGATTGCTCAAGGCCGCCGGACGAGCCTTCAGCCCGCCCCTCTTCTCCTCAGGCGCCGGCGTGGTGCGGCCTTCCTGAACTTGGTGCGGGACATGCTTGGGGCGTGGTTAGGGGGGGGGGGGTTTGAGTTTAGGGTTAGGGTTTACAGGGTTTAGGGTATAGGGTTTAGGGTTTGGGGTTTTAAGGGGAGGGTCGTGGGTGGTTCTGCGAAAGGGCTTCTCAGGGGTTGTTGAAGGCTTTCCGGGGTCTGCCCTTGATGGCGGTGTAAGAAAAGTCTCGGAAACCCTCAGAAGTCTCCAAGCACCCCTGCTTAGAGGTTCAAGATGGTTCAAGGGTACAAGCGCAACTACATTAGGGGACAATGGGGCCTTGCTATTGGATATCTACACATATGTGTATAAGTATAATAGTAAACAAATACATAGATATGTAGAAAATGTAGGGCTTCTTTGTGAAACCCTGAGTCGCAACAGCCATACTCACATTTGCTAGTGCCGACAGCCTGATCCCCCTGCATTCACGCTTCAACGGCCTCCTTGTCCGCTTCTTTCGCCTTGGGCACGGGTGGCAGCACTGCGCCCCCTGCGCCTGCCACCTGACATGTGAGGGCTTAGGGCCTGCGCTTTTTCTGGCCTCACTGGGGATACAGCTTTTGAGTGATCATGTGTAGGATTAAGGCTAGATCCGAAGCTTAGGCTTGTAGGGTTTTGGGCTTTGTCTAGCTGCTGCTAAGGCTGCGCCTGAAACGTCTTGAGGGGCATCTTCCTTGTAATTGTAGAAGCGTGGTAGGCAGAGGGTTCTGAGGAGAAATGTTAAAAGAAGAGGCCCTCGCCTTTCGCCCGGTCACAGGGGCAGCTTGTCTCGGAGCCTCACCATCGGCCGCTTGAGGTTTGGTAGTCTAGGCTTCGGGTTTCGGGTTTCGGGTTTCGGGTTTCGGGTTTCGGGTTTCGGGTTTCGGGTTTCGGGTTTCGGGTTTCGGGTTTCGGGTTTCGGGTTTCGGGTTTCGGGTTGGTATCACACCTGCACAGGAGTCCGGCAGGACATTCCTGAAGCCCTAAGCTTAGGTTATTCTATTTCAGGGCATCAGCTGCCACAACAGCCCCTGGATCAAACGGCACAAGCTGCACATAATTAACCTGGAACCCTGCATGTACACTATGCCAAAGCCGTAGACGCCCAATACACCTGAACCATTGCAAGCAGATCCTTCACCGTTGAGGCTTGCTTCCGGATTCCACAAGGAGATCCCACCAACTCAAAACATGCAGATCCCGCGCACGCAAACGCCAGAGCAAACCACTCCAACACCCCTTGAGAGGCCTCGGTGACTGGCTTTGCCTCCTCGATCGGCTGGGGAGGCTCTGTGGGATGGAAGGCCTCGCCGATCCTTGGGTTTAGGGATCTGGTGGGCAGGAGTACATGGGAGTGGGAGTGGGGCTGGGCAGGTGCCCCGTGGCTGTCCGGAGTGCGACACACGACACCCGACCTGGTCTCAAAGCTGAACTATGGTTTATTTCCGCGAAGCCGAAGAAAATCCCAGACTTCGACCTACTAAAGGCTGAGACATTTCGACATCATCAGTCGCAGTCTAAGACTCACAGCTCCCAAACACAGGTCCAGATAACAGTGATTCAAAGAACCCTGGACACCGTTCAAAGGCCAACGTGGAGACGAAGGCACAGGCGGCTGGTGTCCGAGCCAAAGAGCCTTTGTCGTCAACTACGGTGTTATACATGTATATGTATATATATACATATATATGTATGCAACATATATATATATATAGCAAACGTCGGAATAGTATGATATACTATGCACATATATAAATAGATAGATAAAAAGATAGATAGATAGATAGATCGATGGATAGATAGATAGATACACACACACACACACTATCTGTATGTGTGCATACAGACAATATATAATATGGATCTAGTAGAAGCAACGTGTACGGCAACTACTGGTTGCCGTACACGTTGCTTAATGTTTATAGGGGGCATGTTCATACTTGTCATGAAATATCCAAAAAATATATATATATATATATATATATATTCTCTGAAGCAAATACATGTATAAATGGCAAGCAGAATACATATAAGTGAGTATGACAATGCAACCAAAGAAAACATAAACATGAAACAGCTGTATAACTATTGACTATTTGAAATATGTGGGGCTGAGGGGAATGGGGGAGGGACTGTAGGGAATGGGAACTCTTCCGGGCTTTTGGGGTCAGGACCTTCGGGCCTGTATGGTTTTTAGAGTGTGTTGAGGGCGCAGAGCGTCCAGAGCCCCAACCCTGCTGGACAACTATGTTAAGCTAAGGAACTCATCTGCGAAGCTCTTGCCAGAGGCCAGCTTGGATACGCCTCAAAGCCAGGCAGAGGGAGGGCAAAAGTGGCAGAGTGTTAGGACGCACAGGGTGCTCTGGGGGGCATGTCTGACCATTTAACTTAAACGCGGTAGCTACGCAGAACGTGCTTGCTGGTGACATGGCTCGGCTACGGAGCCTTTGCGGGGCTTCGTTTCTGAGTCAGCGTGGTGCCCAACAAAAGACCTTGTTTCTGTGATGCTTAGTCTCAAGGTAAGGACACGCGCTTAGGCCTTCAGGTAGTCATGCCACAGGGGAAGTTTGCTGGAAGGCCATCACATGATGTGGCCAGTATGTTCCCTTTTTATGGTTGCCCTTGAACGATAGTGAAGAAGGAGTACCCGCCCCCCCACATGAGCGCTTGCATGCCTCGATGGAGCGTGGTCATTGTGAGGTTGATCGCCTTCTTGGCAACGTCCGGGTCATTGAGGATGGCGTCCAGGGCCTCTCTTTCACGCGGCAATTTTCATCTATATCTGGCCACCAAAGCTGAAAGCCTGAGCCCTCGAACCACTCTCCGCCTTCTCCGTGGGCCGTCCCTCCGGCAGCTCGCTAGAGTCCGTCCCAAAGACGAGGTCTGCGAGCTCTTTGCCGCTGCTCAGGCGCCTGGGCTTCTGAGCTTTGTATCGGAAGCATCCATATAAATCATACATGTCTTGTTTAAGGCTTAAGGGCCTTCAAGCGTCCCGATGCCAACATGCCCTTGAACCCCCCTGCAGAAGCTTTGAGACAGGCACGCGGTGACCGTGGCCAGTAGCTTGCGGTCGTGAGACAGGACCTGGGCCACCTGAGCAGCTGGAGTCGGTGAGAAGCAACCCCAAAGCTTGGATCAAACTGCGGGGGGGCCATCTGGGTAATAGGGGTGAAGAGGGCCAGTGAGGCTCTCTAACAATCCCCCGGGAGGCCTGTGCATGTGCATCCAACCCCCCGTCAACTCTTGCGCCCCCCACCAGGACGCCTCCCTCCTCCTCTCAAAAAAAGCAAACCCCAAAGCCACAAAAGGCCTGCAGTCGAACAAGCCAAAAACGCTCCCAGACCCCTTTCAACCCTGTAAACCACAGACCCTAAACCCTATACACCCGAAAGCCTATAGACCAGTCTGTAAACCCTAAACCCTAGAAATTAAAACCTAAACCTTCAGCACGACTTTTCACACTAGCAACATCGCCCCTAGACCCCTGTAGATCCTAGACCCGCTAAACTTAAACGCCTAAACCCCCCTTCCCCCCCCGCCCCCCCCTTTCAGCTGGCGCTCCTCGTCGGGCCCCAGGGCTAGTACCTCCTCGGTGCTGAGAATGGCATCCTCAGAAGAGGGGGCTCGTTTACCCACAAAATTTAGGGGTTTGGGGTTTAAGGGTTTAGGGGTTTAGGGTTTATGGGGTACAGTATGTGGGGATGGTTTGTAGATATTTTGCTTTGTTTAGAGGGATCATGATGGGGATGATCTTGGTAACTATTCAGGCTCCAGTTTCTTGGATGGATCGCGGCTTAAATCATGGTCTGAGGTGAAGCCACGCGTTTTCGCCTAGTGTGGCGACACTAGTGCTGACCTCATTCACTCGCTTTTGCCCCCGAGACCTGGTTCAAAACACCATGCTGTCCTTGACAAGAAGCCATCAGGCCCGGAAAACCCTACAAGTAGCCCGGGAACACTGAAAGAGGCCCCCCACCCCCGCCCCAAAGGCCCCCTGGAAAAGAGCAGCCGGACCTCCTGGGTATGTGGGTGGATCGGCTTCCTTAGACCGGCACAAAGCACTCCCTAAACCTATCAAAGAACCTCGCTATCATCACTCGACCAGGCCTTGACCACCTGTTGGAACATCCTAACCCGGGCTCCGGAAGATTTCTTGTTGTGGGTGAGGGGTCCTTTCAAGTGGCTTGGGGTGGGCAAGGCGGCTCAGGACACGGGATGCAGATCTCTAAACTTTGGCAGAACTTTGGGCTTTGGAATCGCCTCAGCAGCCCATCGAATCCCCAACAGCCCCCGAAGAAACCACGAAATGCTTGGAGGCGGCTGCGAGACGCTCTCGGCGGCACCATTGTTGCCATGCCTCAGGAAAGTTCAAGCAGCACCCTTAGTACTTCATGGGGATATCCGCAGGAGAGACGTGCATCTCATGCACGAAGTCAGGTTCATGTGTCAATTTCAACCTGTACTTGGGCAGCAGCGCAGTTGACATGGATCTGTTCTTGAGGCTTCTTATAGGGCGTCAGGGGCTTTAGTTTTGTGTTTTGGTTTCGAGTCATCAGCAGCGCCTTTCGCAGCACTCACCACTCCAGACTGGAAAAAAAACACTCCTGTAACTCCTGATTCCTAAACCTCGAATATCCATCTGTTCTGTAGGCAAGCGGCGTCCAGTACCTCGGCTTGCCTGTGCCATTCCTAGGCATGCAGCTGGGACATCGTTTGCTTACAGGTCCTTAGCAGGGCCTTCAGAAGCAAGCTTCAAGAGTCTTCTAGGGAAGCGGACTATTCAGAGCCCATGAGTTTGGCTCCCGAAGGAAGCCCAGCACGCTAGGCAACCTTCCCGGACTCGAGCCTTTGCAGCAGACTGTTTGCTAGATGCCCAGCAGTAGCCGAGCGATCAAACGGAATCGTTCTTGGTTTCGTGTTGTCTTCATTAGCAGCCTAAGCCCACCGTTGAAGGTGCCTGTCAAGGGTCTTCCTATGAGCAAGGAGTCCCCGGAGGGACTTTTGGCTCGACAGCTCTTTGGCACTTTGGTTCAGTGTTGGTTCAACGCCTCTCTCCTGTGCAGACGTTCAGGTTTGTTTGGATGGCCCTCTGAAATGCATTCTTCAATGCAGTCCTCTGAAGCAAATCGCGGGAAGTGCCTAGTTACCCCAGTTTATGGGCTCTCCGACGTCTTCTCATCCCAGGGGCATGTGCGGCGGGATCTTCGCAGGCCGCTCGAAGGGGATCTCTTGTGCTTCTGTGGCCTGGGACCAAGAAGTAAGGGGGCTCACGATGTGGGTTCTCAGGGTCGAAAGGCCACGACTGAAAGCCTTGGCGCTTCGTTCCAAGCCAGGCGATCCACAACTCAACCACCACCCTGCCAAACTCAAAACCCCCTACTACGTTGCACCTGCAGGTATCTTGAGACAAGTATAGATGAGTTGCATCGCCTAACTCTCAATTTTTTGGTGTGGCGGGTCGGTTTATGAGGTTATGGGTGTGGCTCGAGGTAGAGTTGGAAAGGTGGTTGGGCTTTCGCACAGCAAGGGATGCAATCAAAACCCCTTAAGTAGCGCCCTCGACGTCCCTACATCGACTGCCTCAGCCACTCCGCTGGGCTCCTCGGAAGCCTCACCAGTGAAGTTGGAGCTGCGCGGGCCTCACCAGGAGAGAGTGTTGAAGGCTGTTTCTCTCTCTCTCTCTCCGCGATCCGACGCCCCCAGCTCAGAACATGTGCGCCAGCGAACTTTCCGGTCCGCCGCCCCCGCTCGCCTGCACGAGCCGAGCCGAGCTCTCGCACCAAGGCACCTGCGGATTTCATGAGTTGGGATGCAAGAAGTCTAAAGCCACGCACCCATATTCCGGCCATGAGGGTCTCATTGCTGAAGAACTGGCTCGCGTCATGCCAATTTAGGGGTGGCCCTGGTGCTCACGCAGTGTCAGAACTCAGAATTGTCGTAGCTCTGGGCATGCAGCCGGGCTGCGCTCCACATCCTCCACTTTGTCGAGCCTGCTGTTGGAAGCATCGATTCGCGAAGAGTACCTGGCAGTCTCTTGAACAGTGAAACGACAGCCCTCCACTAAACAAGCGTTTTCAGCCCGGTTTCAGCCCATGAGCAAGGATTTCGAAACTGTGATATCCCAAGCTTGCGTGGAAAAAGGGCGCCCCATGGAGGGCGGGGGGGCTCACGATGCCACTGTCTCGGACAACTTGCGCAGGATGGCCTGGATGTGGCAGCGAATTCAAGCACCATAAGGTAGCTGTATGTGGCTGTAACTTAGGGCTGTCGCAGAGGAAGAGTCGACTCTAGCTGATGCTCCCCAAAGGGCCCCTGGACAGGCCACCCCTGGATCCCAAATTTGAGGGAGGGCCGTGGGCCGCCTCGATAGCGCTGAGGTGCGGCTCCTCGCCCCCTTGAGTCGGCGCACTGGGTGCACCGGGACTGAGACCTGGCAGAGCATGGGGGAACAGAAAGGTGGAGGGGGCCGGATTTGACTGTGGGGAGTGTTGATTTTGGGTGCGATTCGGAGTCCGAGGGTCAAGCATGGCGCCACAACAGTGCAGGGAGAATCCCTCTCATCGAATCACTCTGCAAAATCCTCCAAGACCGACGTCACCCAGTTGATCAGTGCAACGTTTTATCTCCACTGCTGCAAGCTGCCGCCCTCCCCATCCTGAATAGCCATGTCTTGAGCAGGTCAACACACCAAGGAGCTCTGAACAACCCTCTTGAATCATTTGAATCCATCGAACTTCTGCACGGGACCCCCAAATGAACCCCTTCTGGGCGCCTGCCGGGCCACCCACAGGACCACCTGCCGGGCCGCCTCCGCCTCCGCCTCCGCCAGCCGTGGCCGCAGCCAAGGGGCCCGCGCCGGGGAGAAAGCTAGCGTTCAGAGTGCCGTTGGCCTGTGAGAGCCAGTGTTGCGGGGCGACAGGGTTCAGGAACCTGGCAGCTCAACTTCCCAGGTTTGGCTCAGGGCCGATCAGGCCAACCTGAAAGCCCTGTGGCCTAAACTCCCTTCGATCAAAAATGATGGCGCTCAGAAAAAAACTCCTTGTGCTGCCCGGGGTGCGGAGACTGCGGTGGCCACTGCTTCACGCGCCGCGGCGTCCGCCGCCTCTCGACAAGGCGGGATACAATCAGCGCGAACTAAGTGAACAAAGAACGGGGCCTTTAATTATACTATTATCGCGCACTTATAATATAAAATTCATGCGTCTGTGGTGATATTTCCCCTTGTCTTTCTTGATGATCGAGAATTTCCCCTTGTCTTTCTTGGTGATCGAGAGCTCAAGGTGCAAAAAGGCTCCAAAACCGGATGTTGGATTCATGAACAAGGCTTTGAACAAGAGGGAGACAGAAGTGTCCCTCAGCAGTTAAGAATTCAGGGTCTCAAGGTGTGATGGGTGCTGCGGTTGGACTGGTCTATATATATATATATATATATAGCCTAATGTATTTTGCCTATGGCCTAACTCATTCTGCACTAAAAAAGGAGAAGCTTCCTTTTTTTTGCACGCGAAAGAGTTAAGCCGGTTAGTAACTCAAGACATTAAGACTCAGCCCCAGATCAACGATTAACAGGAGCTAGAGACAGAGGGTTGGGTGTACAGTCAATTGTGGGTAAAAAGCCCCTATTATGGATATTATTCTTGCGGCATTATTACATTGTAAGTTAACGCAGGAAGATAATGCAAATGCCGCATGAAAATAATATTAAAATTGGGGTCTTTTGTATCGTGTGAGTGAACGAATAAAAGGACGAATGAAATGAGGGAAAAGAGTGAGCGATATTAGTATTATTAAGAGCCCCCAAAATAATAATTGCACACAGGGGCTCATCAATTCACTATTTTGTGGTTTTTTGGTGAATTCACTTTGGCCGGAAATCCGGAGCTTTTTGCTAGCATCACCAGTGGCCGAAGGGGCAAAAGGGTCGTTGAAAAGGTACAAACCTTTTTAATCACCTTTGCCTTAGCTGTTCAATGCTTTTCAGACAGCATTGGTTCCGTAAGTTGGCTTCGGGCTACCTGGGCCGCGTCCATGGCGCTCCTAGCAGCCGCCACGGCCGCAGCGACGGCTTCAGCATCCGACATCCTCGGGGCGCTGACTGAGCCTTCTCGTTTGAGGACTCTGCCTCGTAGAGGCATCCGTTTGGGGAACCGGTTTGCTACAGACTCTCAGGTGCAGCGGGTCGTGGTATAGGGCCAATCGGCAGCTCCAACATATAGGATGAACTGCACACACACACATCGTGCCTCTTGTAGGGCGGTTCTGAACCTACCGGCGGCCCACACACGCTCTGCGAAGATCTGCGCTAAACTGTAAACTGTTTTGCATGCACATGACTGATCGACTGCTCGCTCGACTTTCGCCTGTTGGGGTGAGAGTTGCGCAAGTGCTTCGGGTTGCAGCGTCCGAACATGAGAGAGCAGACATGAGGCCCTGTCCATGCAGATTGCGGCTTGCGGGAAGCACTCGACCCTAAACCAAATAGTCAGGCAGAAATCTTAGCCGCCAGGAGCTCAGCTCGCTGTTGACTTACGGGAAGGAGAAGCAACAAATTGCACCAGTAGGTTCCCAGAGCCGCCCCCCCTCCCTCGCGACGCTCGCGCTTGACCTGCAATTGGGGCGCTTAGCTGTTGGAGCTGGCGTCGCCCGGGCGGCCAAGGTCTTCTGATGGATCTCCTCGAGATCAGATTTTTGTGAGGGGGAAACAGGTCGACACCCTGAACCCATGAACCCTCCTGGGTCATCGGAGCTTTGGCCATTTTCAACCTATCATCCGCCTTCAAGTCGCCGCCCGCTGTCTCAGTCTGAGCCTCAAGACATCTCAAGACCTCTCCACCCCCAAGATGGACATCTCTTTCAAAGCCCGAATTCCTAATATACAGCCGTTCTTCAAGACCCCACCTTCAACCTCCCCGACACTCTGCAAGCCCAAGGCAAGGCATCCTGGATCTTCACAGCCAGGGCCTTCTGAAGGCTCTGCCGCACGGATGCCACGACGCGGCCAGCCAAGGCAGCCTGCTCCTGGAAAGCTGTTTAAGGGAGATCCGGTACAGTAAGAAGGGGCTTCAGGTGCCCTTTTTGGAAAAGGGGGGCCCACAAGAAGTCATGCGGGAGGTTTGGGGGTAACTTGTAGGGATGTTTTGGGAGACTTGGCATTGCAACCGAAACGCTGAGCCTTGGGAGGCTTCGAGGGAGGACTTGAGGCCCTTGATAGGCCCGAACCCTGCACCCATGGAATAAATTAGCCGGATTTTGACTCTAAAGTTTTGCAAGCCTCGGCCGGGAGGCCCGTGGCCTTCGCCGCCGCCAGGGCAGCCTCGAGGACACGAGGTCTCCGGGTTGAGCCGACGTGAACACTAAGCCCCGGGATCCTACTACATCCGAGTCCGGGGTAGGATGGATGACAAACTTTACAAATTTAAGGGCGTCGCGTTGGGAGCGAGGCGTACCCGGTTCATTCAGACCCCGAGCAACTGGAGGAAATGGAGCAATCAGGGCTTCGGGTGGGGCAGACGGCAGTGTGAAGGTTGGCTGCTATAGGCAAACGCCTGGAATCCGCTGGGGTGTTGGCTGTAAGTGCTGCGTCCGAAACCACAAGTGGACCCAAATCGGACAAAGGCCTGAGAATCCAACCTCATGCCTGTGGCTCAGAAACCGAAAAGCCCGAAAGCCCAAAGCCCCACACGGCCGTCCAAATTGGTCCAAATACCACAAGTCGCAAGACATCACAGTGACATCACAAGCAGCACCCCAACACCCCAACACCCCAACACCCGAAACCCTAAACCTGCCTTGGCCGCCGCTGTAGCCTCCTTCTCCGGGAGGAGGCCCGCCTTCAGAGACTTCAGGTCAGCGACACGGCTGACCGTTTCGGTGATCACCGATTACGAGACACTCCGTTCTTTTACAAAAAATGCACCATTGTGCAAGCAGCTCCTTTCGAAGAGTTAAATTCAAGGGCCTTAGGGTACGCTGGGGCTGCTCAATCCTTCCATGCCCATGCACCAAATCATCCACTCGAATCGTCGAAGGCTCGAAGAAGTGGGAGTCAACTTTGAAGCCCTCCCCCCCCAAAATAAAGGCCACGCTTCAAGTGGCCTGAACCTGTAAATTTCCCATGAGCAGAACCCCTAAGAATGACAAGAAAAAACCCTCTAAACCCCCTAACCCCTCACCACGAAACCGCTAAAGACTCTCAAGCCCAACAGCCCTGACCCCTGAAACAAGCCCCTGAACGAAACCCTTAGCAAAGCCCAAGAAACCCTTGTAAGCCCTGTTTGAACCTCAAAACAGCTTCTAAAGGCCTTCTGTGCGGCGGCCTCGGCCGCCAGGACCGCGGTGCGCACCTTGCAGATTGGGAGGGGGCTACAGCAGAGCCTGTTCCCCCTTACAGAAGCGGCTACCACAGTAGGTCATTGTAACTGTGATGCTTCTGGTCCTGGTCCTGAAGATAACCCCTATTTAGCTCAAAGGATGAAGTTTGCAAGGGAAAAACATCTCCGGCCTGCTCCTCGGCTGTCAGCCCAGCTGCATGGGCCGCTGCTGCCGCGGCTGCGCCAGCGGCCCGAACACACTGTGGGCACCAGGGAAGTGAGGGGCAGTGAGGGGCTGTGAGGGGCTTGAGAGGTGGAGTTCCCCTTGATTTTGCCCTTCTTGGAAAGCTCTTCTACAAGGCTTGAATCAGCTTACTGGTTCGAGGGCGCCAGGGTGTAACCGCAAGAAGCGTTGAGAACCTTACGCGCCCCTTGGTTCGCACAGCTCTTTCGTCATTCGGGACTTTTCAGCCTGGGGTGCTGTGTGGCGTTGGCGCGAAGGCCTCACGTATCCCCCGGCCTCCAGGTCTGTCAGCGCTGACGACTGGGCACTGTCGAAGGCGGCCTGGATCCAAGATTCAGGTTTGGAGGCACTTCTTGGGGCTTTGGAGATGTTTGTCGGGCGTAGCCTTCGCCCCAAACCTCCCTTGATGAACGTCCACTAGGGCAGTTCTTCGCATGGTCGTCACTTTTTGGGTACTCAAGAATCAGATGCACACTAATAATTAATCATACTCGCAATAGTACGCCCGGCTCCCGCAAAACCCGAAACCCTCAAACCCCACATTTCTCTTCGCCTAAGCCCCCTATAAACGCACAAGACTCAAGTCCCTCAAGCAAACCACCCGAATCCTTTTGGCTGAGCACCTCAGGTCTGAACCTTAATCCCGAGCGCACGGCCAAGACGACCAAACTCAGACAAGAAACCCTAAAACCCATCCGAAAAACCCTAAACTCCCTAGCCCTCCCCCCGCCCCCAAACTCCCAACTCCCCCACCCCCCCGCCCCCCGAAAAAAACAAAAAACAAAAAAACACTGTAGCCCCAACAGCAAAGAAGACTAAAGATGCTTCAACACCGGTCCCCCAAAAAAACCGAATGCGACCCTTTCATGTTTTTGTTTCCGGGCTTTCGGGAACTACAAAAACTCATAAAAACTCAAATTGACTCCAAGCACCAAGCGCGGACCATGAAAAGCCTCGAGAAAAAAACAAGCGCGGACCTCCGTCCGAGCTTTTGCACCCAAAAACTCCCCCAAACTCCCGCAACTCTCAGCTCGCCCGGCCTCCCCGGCCCTGGCGGCGCGGGTGGCGGGCGGGAGCCCGGCATCGGCAGCGGCCCGCGCCGCGGCCTCGGCAACCTCCAAGGCCTGGAGACCCGCGACTTTTGGGGGGTTTAGGGTTTGTAGGGTTTATAGGGGTTTAAGGGTTTGAGTTTCTAGGGTTTCTAGGGTTTCCAGGGTTTCTAGGGTTTCATTAGACTTTAGGGCGGCTTGGGTTTGGAGGGTCCTCAGGGAGATTTGTTGCCAGAGCGAGGAAATTACAATAGAAAGAGCAAGCTTTTCCTCTTTAGCAACAGGCAGGTTTCTCTGATGCCCTAAACGCTCGGAGCCCGATTCAGCGCATTCAGCGCGGAATCTAAACACCAGCTAAAGAAAGGGCCCTTCAGATATGGGGACGCTTCAGTTGCCCATTGATACCCCGATTTGGGACACCACCCCCGTCTTTCCACACATGTGCCTGAAGGTAGAAGAAGCTCGGGCCAGTGGTCGTGGTGGGCACTGGTGCAGGAGCCGCAGGGGCTGCGGTGGGCAGCGCGACCACCTCCCATGGTAAGTGGGTGTGGGGGGCGGCTTGCCTCAGCAGGAAAATAGGACTCCGACCCAAATCTGGAGAAAAATGAGGGTTTCCCTTTGTTTAGTAGCTTCACATTTACCTGAACCCCCTCACAAGGGATCCCAAATAGTCGAACACATCTAGTTGTATCTTGCTTCTGACAACTGTAGACTGTAGCTGAGTGTTTAGCTCGCAGCTTCTACATGGTCTTGGACTTCTGCACTAACCCAAGCAGACCGTATGAACTCCGCCCTTTCAACCACCAAACACCTCCCAAGAGCTGCGTTGCCTCCACGTGTCGGGTGGTGGTTGAGCTGGTGCTGGCATGTGTGGTCTTGCTGCTGGTCGTTCTGTGGGTGGTGCTCTTTTGTGTGGTTGTGGCTCGACTTGTGCTCTTCGTGGTGCTCTTGCTAGTGGTGCTCTTCTTTGTTGTGGTCTCTGTCGTTGTGCTCTTGGTAGTGGTGGTGCTGCTCTTGGTCGTGCTTTTTGTGGTGGTGCTTGTGGTTGTCTTCTTTGTGGTCTCCGTGGACTTGGTTGTGGACGCCGTCGAGGCTTTAGTTGTTGTATTGGAGGCGGACGTAGTGGTCGGCGCCGGCGTTGTCTTGTTCCTGCAGGGCGGCATCTTGCTGCCCTCAACGCAGAACAAAGGCCGCCGACATTCCAATGTACATGTGCATGGCAGGCTGCTCAAGCAGCAACAACCCTAAAACCCCCATGGGTGCGGGTGTGTGTCAGTGTATGTGTGTCGCAAACAGCACAAGAAGCCCTTTCTCTGCCCCGAATCCCCCACAAACAGATCTCCTGGCGCTGGTGGTGGTCTTGCGGCTGGTGGTGGACTCGGTGGATTCGGGCTCCTGCCACTCGGGGGTCTCTTCTCATACGGACGCAACAAATATATACTCACACAAACATAAAATGTACAGATATCAATCTAGACGTAGACAAGTAGAAAGCCGTTGCTTGTGGGTTGCTTGTGGGTTGCTTGTGGTTGCTGCGGCTAGAAACTGCTAGCTGTCTCCTCCTCTTCGGAGGTGGAGGCCCTTGGCTCTTCTCTGCTGTCACATTTTTTTTGGGCAACTCTGAGAAGCGACCTGCGGAAGCCAAGGCTCTCTGCCGACTCTTCGGTCGTTGTCTCGGCAGCCTCGGTTGTCTCCTCCTGGGAGCTGGCAAGGTGTAAGCCAAGGCGCAGTTTAGGGCTTTCAGAAGGGTTTAGGGTAAGAGGGCTTATACATGCAGCGTTGAAGCGTTTGCGTATGGGATCTGGGCATGCCCGGCGGCTAGTCATGCGAGGCGGGAATTGAGAGACCGGGACGACCTACGCTCACATTGCTTTTGGATCCCCACGTATCAAAAGCCTCTAAGGAAGGGGGGGAGACTACCCCTCAACAGGGCTTCGGGCTGGGCTTGGGGCTCAGGAGAAGGAAAGGGGAGCTGCACTGCAGCAGGTCTGCCAGGGAATAAGGAATGTGTCTTGGGATTTCGGGCTGGTAACTTCACAGGGCAACCGCCTCCCAAACACTGTGATAAGACTGGACGTCGAGAGGATCGCCCCAATCCCGAACCAATGAAACCCAGTGACATAATAGGCCATAGGCTCGACATTGACCTTAAACCCCCAAGCCAAAACCCTGACAACTGAAGCAACGGAAGATTGCGTCCTCTAGTGGTGCCTCAGTGGTCTCGGAGGACTCCTGTCGCCCAAGCCAGGCTTGGAGGTTCAGGGGCTCTAGATTTGAGACGAACCCTGCTTTCCCTCGCCCCCTTTCCGTTAAATCTGTCGTGCTTTGAGAGAAAGGGGGTGTGGACTTTTTGAGACTTGGGCTGTTGCTTTTCTTCTTTTCTTAACACTGTATCCCTGTATCCCCCAAACTGCCCCGAACCACTGGCAGGGCCTCCACTGCCTCCGCTGTCGTGCTTGACGCCTGTGTTGTCTCCTCAGCCCTGGGCATCGGGTTCAAGCAGGCTGAAACTGGTTGGGGCGTGTGGACCAGGGGCCAGGGCTAGGGAGCTTGGGGCTTGGGGCTACGGATTTAGGGTTTAAGTTCTTTTATGTTTTCGGGTGCACCAGCTAAAGCCCTCGAACCATACCTGCAGCTGCCCCCTTGACGCCCCAAAAAGCACGTCCCCTCCCGCTCCCTCCCCAAACGCAAGCACACCTTGCCCGCACTCCCTCAAGATAGCCCTACACCCACAACCCTCGAAAGTGCTCTTTGCAACACGGCTGGCAAGGAGAGCCACATGATTGCCTATTCACGGAGTTCTACGCTTCTCTCAAAACCCTCAACACTTCTTCATTCTACGGTAGCTTATGAGCCCTAGAAGCAGGAAGTCACTAAGTCCCTGCACGGCAACCCGCTCGAGATCCGAGACCCCTCCAACCAGCCAGGCGTCGGAGACTTCGACGTCTCGGCCACCTCGAGGTCCTTCCCAGGCACCGGGGAGGGGGGGGGTCTGTAGGGCCTCCAGCAGGCCTCTAGGGTTTAGGGTTGTAAGGTTGTAGGGTTGTAGGCTCGGGGCTTGAGGTTTTTAGGGTTTAGGGCTAGTCAGCTAGTCCCAAAAGCACGCACTGCCAAGACTGTTGAATTCCAGCTTCGGAAGCAAGATTCGAAACACAATCCCTGATCGAAACCCCACAGGCCGGGGGAAACCAGACAGAATGGACACATCCGGAACGAATCAGAAGCTACAGATTCTCTTGGGGTCTTTGCACGGGCAAAGAACCGGCCGAGAAGCGATTGTAGGGCTCATGGTCTATAGGGTGATTTTGGGGCTTGTAAGGCATGACAGGGCTTGTGATGCTTCAGGGCTTGAGTCGAAAGTTTTTCTTGATTTTGCGAATTCCGTTTCCTTGTTCTCGGGGAGGGAGGGGGAACATTCCCCAAGAAGGGTTTTGTTGGGCTCTTACGACCGTGGTTGAGTATAGGTCTGATGGCTCCCGAGCTGAAGTCTAGCGAAGCGCAAACGAAATCCCGATCCCTGCAACCTCTAGGAAGACTCCTTGTGGCCCCCTAATCTCAGGGTTCCACCAGCCTCATCCCCTTCTGAGAGTCGTGGGCAGTTTGCAGGGTTTTGGGGGTTTCAGGTCGGCTGTGGGTTGCGGCTTGTGGTTCGAGGGTCTTTCTGCTTCCACGTGTGCGGGGTTCTCTTGCTTCTTTGGCGCTTTTTCGTGGCTTGAGTGAGGTGGGAGTGCCGTAGTCCTCGCCCAGCTCTGGATTGAGGGTCGTTTCTGAGAGCTCCTCCTGTGCTCATGGCCAGGGAAAGACATCTCCCTTTCGAAAGGAGCTGAAGCTGTGGCTGCTTCTGCGCAAGGCTCAACCGGCTCAACATGGCTTAGCCCTCCTCAGTCTCATCGTCGCCGGCACCAGACAGCGCGTGCCGCGCCTTTCTCCGAAACTTCCGGGCGACCTGTCATCGGGAAAGTGCCCCTCGCGTTTAGGCCAGTTCCAAATCTTCAGGATCTTGTGATCCTGCAAGCGAGGCAACGAAACTGCAAGATGTCAGAAGGTTCTGAGTTGCCTTTCCAGCTGGCTCTATAGGGCTTCCCCCCTTCTGTAGTAAGGACTCTGTTGCAACCTCAGCCTCGCCACCAATGGACCCTATTGGGGCCTGACGTCAAAGGTTTTTCAATGCTTGGGGTCTACAATGGCACATAATCACAGTCTTCTTCAACACAGGACCCTGATACGATTAGAGCTGATCATAGGTAGCTTAGGGCTTAGGGGGGGCATCGGAGCCACTGGGTGTGACTCTGCCCATGGATCCCACAGCGCCTTCGCCTCCACGCTGCTAAGGCTTGGGTGCCCCACTGGCTGCCTTCAGTTGCAAGATGAACCCGGGCCCCCAAAC